TGCAGGTGTGCAGTTGCACACTGAATCTGTGCCATGCTCCTGTCTCCCTGAGCCTTTGGCTCCCTTCTGGATGCCACACAAGTCCCGGCATCTTCACCTGTTAATCTCAGATTTAACAGTGCCCTGGGTTGAAGTCAGTCAGCCTGAAGTTGTTAATGCCCTAATCAGTAGGTGGGTGGTTTCTGATAAGTCCTCCCACAGCAGGAAATGCTGCCAAATCAGCATTAAATTTTTCCTTCTGGGAAGAACCTATCCCAACAGGCTTCTGGGTTTCCAGATTTAAAAAAAAAACTGTTGTAGGGTGCTTTCTGTGATGAGCCGACTGTTCCTCCAGGGCCCCCAGGGCTGGCTGGAATTGTCCTGAGGAAGTGAGCAACTTGCAATGTGCGCCCAGGAAGGTGTGTTTGTCTCCAGGATTCCAAGCAAAGGTAATCCTCATGGAGCCAGACCTTTGCACAGCTACAGAGGCTTAGCATCACCTTGAGATTTAGGAATCCCAGCTTTGCTTCAGTCCATCCTTGTGTCCCTGTGCCTGGTACAAAGGTCCCATGCCCCCAAATCAGGGCCAAACTTCTATGAAAGGATGCTTGAGGCTTTTGAAGTCAATAGGGTATCCACTTCACGCCATTACATCCATGCTGTATTTGGAAGCATCAGCTCTACAGCTGTGGGAGATGAGAATCTTTTGGATCTGTGGGACTGCACGTCCACACCCTGACTGCTCATTTTCTCTTTCCAAGCTCTGTCCCACACCGAGTCTTGTGGTCCTAGGTTCTACTTCAGTGACCAGTGCAGCAGCTTCTTGTGCCTGGGCTTCCAACAGCTGGGGGTAGGGGGATATTATGATAGTCCCAGTTGCTGTCTGTTTTGTCACAGGGCCATAGCTCGCCTGGAGAATAGGAACCCAGTTCCCAGTGATAGAGCTTTGCACTGTTTGAGCCCAAGGTTAGGACATCAAGGCCAAATCCCTGTGTCTGGGAACCATTCCTGGTGCTCATTTCTCTGCCAGTCAGGAGCCAGAAGCCACTCAGTCATTTGAACAGAAAATTAGCATAAACATGTTAATAGGATATAAGTGAATGGGTAAATGAAAGGGTAAACAAAGACCTTTAAAGCAGTGTTCTCACACTCTGGTTCCCACATCACAACTTCAACATAAGCGAGGAATTTATAAAATGCAAATGACTGGTCCCATCTCAGACCTATTGACTCAGGATCTTAGAGGCAAGACCCAGCAGTGCATGTTTTACTCTGGCTCTCATGCACTGCACAGTTTCGCACCGGTGCTCTAAGGAGTCATGCAGGTATGAGGGATGCTAGGCCATGAAGATCATTCTACGTATAATGGAAAAACAGCTGACTGATTCAGCTACTGCAGCAGGAAGGAAGCAGGTGCCAAAGTAAGGCAGTGCTGGGTTGCAGTTCACAAGAACAGCATGCAGACAGCTCACAGGCAGCAGGCAGGAATCCCATAGGCTGAAGTCAGGAAATCACAGGCAGCATACAGGAAGTCCACAGGTTGCAGACAGGAAGACCATAGGCTGCAAGCAGGAAGTCCACAGGTGCAAGCAGGAAGCCCAGAGGGTACAGACAGGAAGCAGCAAGTCCTTCCTCCTCCAATTTTGAGTCCCTTGCTAGCCTCCTTTATTGTTGGAGCATAAAGTAGAACCAGCTGACAATACTGAAATGTGATCTACAAATTCCCAGCATCACAAGTTTGGAACTGAGACCGTAACTGTGGGAACAGTGTAAAAAAGAAGACATATCCCTTTCCCAGTAAGAATAAGTACAAGTTAGTGATTCTAAAAGATGACACCTCAAGTGTTGTTAAAGCCCCAAAATACATAGTATTTCATCACAGAATCATCAATCCTAAAATTAGCAGTAAACATTAAGAATTATTAAATAGCTCTTCTCACAAAGGTAACATGGTCAGGTTTTTTTCAGCGATGCTGAACTGTTGCTTTATTTTTTCAATAAACAGAGTAGTTTAAATTTACAGAAGTGTTTCAAAGATAGAACAGAAAATTCCCTTATACTCCACACCCAATTTATTTTTGACACTTTACATTATTGTTGTGTATATATATATGTCAAAATTAACATACTTTATTCACATTTCCTTGGTTTTTACCTAATGTGATTTTTCTCTTCGAGGATCCCATCTAGGTTACTGGTAATATTTAGTCATCCTGTCTCTGTAGGCCCCTCTTGGTCATGAGTTTCTCAGACTTTTCCTTGTTATTGACCACATAGCAGGACTGGAGAGTATTGGTTACATGTTTCGCCAAGTTCCCTCTATTGAAATGCCTCATATTTGTGTCATGATTAGAACAGGATTATCAGTTTGGGGAAGAAGACCACATCTCAAAGGCACTTACTACCACATGACTTGTAACTCTTACTCTTGATCACCAGCTGAGGTATTATTGGCTATCTTCACTGTGAACTCACTCTCTTTTTCCTCCTTCCTATTCCCTAATCTCTAATAGAAGTTACAGTGTGCAGCCCAGCCTTAGGGAATGAGCAGTTATGCTTTATCTTTGTGGGGTTGAAGCATCTGCATGAGTTAGTTGGAAATTTTTTGCAATAAATGCATATCTTTTCCTTCATTTAGTATTTATTTAACCATTTATTTCAATGTAGATTCAGGAATATTTATTTTGTAGCTTGGATTACAGCCCAGTACTACTTTATTTTGCTGTCTAAATTATGCCATGCAATACAATTTGTAGTAATGCCAGGGAAAAAGAAAATAAGTAGCTTTTGGCAAACACTTATTTTTTCAAAGAACATGGGAGAATTGAAGAATGAAGAGTGTATAATCAAAAGGAAATTTGAAGGGCATGACTAGAAGAAGGCCACCCAGTATAATCTTAGTTTGTGGTTAAAATTCAGATGCACAAAGGGATGTGGGGTGCTTGATTATTTTGCAAAGTAAGAAGAAGAGAGGATACTCCTCTTATTCAAGGTCAGTGCCAATAGTGTGGATAAAGAGAATGTGAAGTCTTTTAATGCAAGTTGTGCTTCCTTCATTATGAAGGAAAATAATCTTCAAACTGGAAAGGGTGAAATAAATAGTGATTAGAGGAAATTAAAGCCCAAGACAATTTAGAGATTAGAGGAGATGCCTTTCTGCACAAACCACATCTGATTTCTGACCCACGTGGGTCGCATTCAAGTACAATAGGGGTCTCAGAAAAGAGCTCATCTGGCTGCTCCTAGTATCGGCAACGCTGTGGACCTGAGACCTGATGTCAGGCAGGGAGAGAGAGGACAGGGGCCTTGGATGACCCTTGTAGAATCGTGCAGGTCCCTGAAGACTGTGGGTATGGCAACACACTGACAGGCTTATCAGTGTTTCTACTGAACAGACAACAAAGCTGAGTGATGTCCTAGGAGACTAGTGTAGTCTGGCAGCACAGAGGGCAAATGAATGGCTCCCAAGACTTAAAAGAATGGGCATTGACTCTTAGCCCAGAGCCAACTTTCTCACTGTGTGGGACCCCCTACCTTGGGGGCCACTGTGAAACCCATTCCCACTTCTCCTGTCCCAGCCCCTGCTGCTTGGCACAGGTTCCTGAGACTCTACCCCACTGTGGCCTCTGGCTGGTGGGTGACATTCCAGCTGGCACACTTCCGGGGCAGTTCCCTGAAGTCTCTGGCCCCTCTGCAGCCTGTCCCCATGGTGACTCCCCTTCTGTCTCTGTGCTCTTGTAACTCACCAGCACTTTGGCATCTCAGTCCCACGTGAGCTGCCCCATGGCTAAGACACTGGTGGCCACCAGAGGTTTCTTACACTCCCCACTCTGCAGAGTTTGGGAGAATGGTCTGCGGTTGCAGATGGAGCTTGGTGGTAGAGTGCTTGTCTAGCAACCACGAGGCACCAGAAAATTTTTTTTTAAAAAGGGCAGTTAACATTTGGAATTGATGCAAATATTGATGTTGTGAGTAATATCTTCTATTTTACGGATGACTTGAAAATAGGAGAGATAGCTAATAATGATTGATATCCCGAAAAAGTGTTTCAAAAAGCCATATTAGGGCTAGGGATTGAGCTCAGTGGTTCTGCCACCTGCCTTGCAGGTGCAAGGTCCCAAGTTCCATCCCCAGTACCAAAAAAAAAAACTGTATTAGCTAGATGTGGTGGCTCATGGCTATAATCCCAGCACTGTGAGAGGCTGAGGCAGTAGGATCACCATGAGTTCAAGGCAGCCTGGGCTTCATAGTTCAAGGCCAGCCTGGACTACATACTGAGAGCCTATCTCAAAAAACAAAACAACAAAACAAAATTACTCTTTTTTTATCTTTATTAAGTTTATTGGTACATTTTAGGTATACAATACAGTTACATTCATCATTGGGATCTTGTTTCATGACTTATCTTGGTTCTTGCTTTTCCCCATTCCCCAGCTCTCCCTTTAGCCCCTCCACCTTTCCCTGTTTACGGAGACATTGTTCCCATGTGGTTTTTTTTTCCACATATTTTTTTCCTTTCCCTTTTTACCTTTCCCCTACCCCTTCCACTTCCTCTTTTACACCTTTTCTTCCTATTATACAATATCAATTATACATTTTTTTAAGGTTAAAAAGAGATCAGATAGGGCCCCTGTGGTGGCCCTGGGATGAGGGTGGCTTTTATTTCCTCTCTTGGGGAAGGAAGAGGAGGGGAGCTTTCCCAGACTCCCCAACCTAAGGAAGGGATGAGGGAAGCTGACAGTCGTTCAGAAGGGCATCTGTATCCACTTGCTGGCAATTGGTTGCAGCGTAGGGACAAGAGAGACCCCTTGGGTAGTAGCTCCCCACATTAGAGGTATGAGAAGGTCTGTGCTGGTGTTCCAAGGTGGGGGCAGGAGCCCTGGGTGAGGCAGGGGCAGGCAGCCAGCCCCACACCCGACTCCTGCCGTGGACGTGAGTGTTGCTGAGGCTGGCTGGCATGGTCCTTCTCCTGAGAAGGCCTGAGGAGCCCAGAAGCACCTCCCTATCTGATGGCTGGTCCTTTAAATGTCCATCTCAAACAGTGACTCTTCACGCCCACCGGCTTGCCTTCTGGACTGCTGTGCAGTTGACTGGCTGGCTTCTGTGGAGGACTCATCACTGCTATGGCTGGTCACCCCAGGGATGGTGGACAGGTCCCTCAGGGGCGTTTTGGCCAGAGGGCAGTTCCGACACTCCATCAGGAATTTCCAGTCATAGATGATCCTGGTCCCTCCTGGAGTGGTGCTGAAGAGCATCCCACCAGGGGTTGTGCTGTGGTCCTTGGGCAGCAGCTGGACTCCATCGCCAGGAACCACCCAGCAAGTGGCGGGGTTGTCTCAGCTCAGGGTCTGACTGCAGCTGCTGTCCCCAGACATGTTCAGCACTTGCTTCCCGTGCCTCCCGCCAGCCCAATTATACCTTTTGATCCTTATTTACACTTTTAGTTTTTCACACCAGAGAAACTATTCGGTATATACACGTGTGACTTGTTAATTTCACTTAAGAGTATTGTCTCAATGTGCGTCCATTTAACTATAAATATCTCTAGTTTCTCATTCTTTTTTTGTTTTTGTTTTTGTTTTGTTTTATTGGGTTTTTTGGGACAGGGTCTTACTGTGTAGTTGAGACTGACCTCGAACTCACTATATTCTAGATAGCCCAGGCTGGTCTTGAATTCACAGTGATCCTCCTGCCTCAGCCTCCCGAATGCTGGGATTACAGGCATGCGCCACCACGTCTGGCTAGTTTCTCATTCTTTATGGCTGAGTAGTATTCCATTTTATTAAAAACCACATCTTCTTTATCTAATCTCCAGTTGATGGGCAGTTGGGCTGTTTCCATATATCACTGTGGTATGATTCTTTTAATTCTTTTGGGAAGATACCCAGCAGGGAAATAGCTGGGTCAAATGTGACTTCTAATCCTAGTTGTTTGAGGTATTCACAGTGGTTGCACCAGTCTGTACTCCCACCAACAGTGCAGAAGGGTTCCTTCTCCACACAGCCCTGGCAGCATTTGTTATTGGTTGATTCCTTGATAACAGACATTCTTTAGTGGTGGGAAAGGAATCTCAGTGTCGTTTTCATCTGCATCTTTGGAATGACCAGTGATGTCGAACATTTTTTCATGTTTATTTGCTGCTTTTACATCTTTGAGAAATGTCTGTTCATTTCACATGCCCATTTTTTAATTGGGTCTTTATATTTGGAGGGTCTGGGTTTTTTGAGTTCTTTATATATTCTAGATAGTAGACCTTTGTATGAGGAACAGCTGGTAAAAATTTTTTCCCACATTGTGGGTTGCCTCTTAGCTCTGCTTGTGATTTCTCTGGCAGTGCCGAAGCTTTTTAGAAAGCTTATCAGGCCAGGGATTTAGCTCAGTGGTTCCACCATCTGCCTTGCAAGTGCAGGGACCCAAGTTTGATCTCCAGTACCCCAAAAAATAAAAAAATAAAAAGCTTGTTGATTCTTTGAGCTAGTTCCCATTCTACTGAGGATTTGTTCATAAAGTCTTTTCCTATGCTGAAATCTTAAAGAGTTCTACCTAACTTATCTTTCAGCAAGTTGTGTTTCTGTTTTAATGTTTGTATCTTTGATCCACTTGGATTTTAGTTTAGTGCATGGTGAAAGATACAGGTCTAATTTTAATTTTTGACAAGTTGAAATCCAATTTTTCCAACACCATTTATTAAAGAGGCTATCTTTCCTCCAGTGAGGGTGTTTGGCTCCTTTGTCAAAAATGAGGTAGCTGAATATGTCAGGAGTTGTTTCTGCATCTTCTAATCTGTTGCACTGATTCTCGGGTCTCTTTCTTTGCCAGTACCATGCTGTTTTTTAATCACAGTGGCTTTGTAGTATAGTTTCACGCTGGGGATTGTGATACACCCCCCCACTGTGTCTCTATTGATTCCAAATGAATTTTTGTATTGTTTTCTCTAGTTCTGTGAAATATACTGTTGGGACTTCAATAGGGATTGCATTGAATCTGTATAGCAGTTTTGGAAGTATGGCCATTTTCACTATATTGATTCTTCCTACCTAGGAACAAGGGATGTCTTTCCATTTTCTTATATCCTCTTCAATCTCTTTTTTCAGAATGTTGTAGTTCTCAATGTAGAGATCTTTTGTTTCCTTTGTTAGATTGATTCCTAGATATTTCATTTCTTTGGATGATATTGTGAAAGGGATTGTTGCCCAGATTTCACTCAGTCTGTTATTTGTGTACAAGAAGGCTATTGATTTTTTAGTATTTGCCTTATATCCAGCTACTTTACTGAATCTGTCAATTAAGTCTAGAAGTCTTTTGGTGGAGTTTTTATGTCTTCTATGTAGAGTATCATATCAGCAAATAATGACAGTTTCACTTCTTCCTTTCCTATCTTTATTGCTTTTATTTCTTTCTCTTGTCTTATTGCTGTGGCTAATAATGCTTAGTTCTTTTTTGCGGGGAGGGCTACTGGGTATCGAACTTGGGTCCTTGAGCTTGCGAGGCAGATGGCAGCACCACTGAGCTATAGTATGTTATATATAGAACTAAGAAAACAATAGTGAATCAGTTTTCCACTAAAGACTCAAACTGCAGGCCAAGAGCTCTGAGGGACTTGAACATGAGACAAATGTACACTCTTGGCTAATTTAGAATTTTTCAAAGTGCATATAAGCAGTTTTAAATGTCATGTGGTACAAAAAGCTCAGAGTGAAAAATAGCAGTTGCTGTACCTGTTCCTCACCCTCCCTGTTATTCCCCAGAAACAACCCATGTAGCTGCCAAACGCAACACATAATCGCAAGCATTCAGTCCACAACATTTCCCAGGAGGCGATCGTGGGAGTTTATTTTTGAGATAAGGTCTCAGAATGTAACCGAGGCTGGCCTCAGCTCACAGAGTTCCTCCTGCATTAGCCTCCCAGTTGCTGGGATCACAGGCATGCACCACCTCTCCTAGCAAACAGGACATTTGGAAGGACTTTAGGTTTTCATCAGCAGTCATTCTAAAAGTTTCGCAGCTAACTTAATTAGTGCAAATTGGAGCAAAACTATAGCGGTAGCGCTGCATCCTAGGGACCAGCGCCCCATTTTTGGGAGCCCAGGTGCACTGCTTGGCATCTGGTTGCCAGAACCCACAGAGACATCCAGGCCTGCTTACTATTTCAAAACTCATCTTTGAATTAATATTGTATTCCCCACCGTGACAGGTAATTACCACATTTGGTCTTTGGAGAATCCTATTACAATGTAAATTTTTTAAAGGATAGATTGAACCAAATGTGTGTCCATGGAAAAGAAAAGATTTTTTCCCTGCAGATTAAATCTGAGCTAGATCACCACCAGTTCTCACCTTGTCCTGTTTACCGATTCACTGAAACACTGGAGCCTCTGTAATGGAAAATTTTCTAAGTGTAGTTCTGAGTTGCCCCTCAAGCCCTGCATGGATTGTTAGGAAAGCCACTTTTCAGTAGGCATTATGTAACAAAAGCTGCAGGTGCCATGACCCTGCTTACTCCTGTGTCCCTCTTGAAGGCTCTGTGTGTGTCTTGTGCACTTCAGTCTTTAGTTATACTTTAGGTTAACCATGTCATATTTAAGCTTTTGCTTTCTGTTTATCTTTTGAGACAGGATCTCACCGTATAGTCCAGGCTGGCCTTGAACTCACTTTGTAGCTCACACTGGCCTCAAACTCTTAGCAATTCTCCTGCCTCAGCCTCACAAGAGCTGGGATTTCAGGCATGCACCACCAAGTCCAGCTAAGCTTGTGCATCTGATTTCTTTCACTGAACATCAACGCCTTAGAGACTCAAGCAGAGTAGCTTATGCACTTTGGAATGTTATCTTCGGTCTCTGAAGATTGAAAATGCTGAGGCAGGAGGATCTCCACAGTATACACATATCCACAGTTCCTTTGGGTGACATCAAAATAGGAAATCGAAGTCTCTCCTGGTGATGCTAGTGCAGGGTAAGAAATGAAAGTGTTTGTTCTCTCACGGGGAGAACAGGGAACCAGAGGGATGTGAGACCTTGCTGCAGGGTGGATACACAGAAATAATGTTTCAAGTGGAAAGTAAAGCCTTGATGTTAGCAGTTCAGCAGCTCAGCCCTGGACCAGAGGGGTGGCAGTCACTTGACTCTAGTGCAGGTTTTACTTCCCTGCAGAGTGGATGCTGCTTCACACTGAATTTTAGTGTCTTTTTCCCTCTGAACCTTGCCACTGGCCCTGTGGCATCTCAGTTAAGCTACACTCAGAATTAATTCAGTTCAGCACACAGTGTCCATTCGTAATATCCATGCCATCGTGCTGGCCAGACACAGTGACACCTGCCTGTAGTCCCAGCACTCTGGGAGGCTGAGGCAGGACCATCTCAAATTCATGGCCAGTCTGGGCAACTTAGTGATGTAGCAAGACCCTGTCTTCAAATAAAAATGTATGCAAAGGGCTAGGGATGTAGCTTGGTGCAGAGACACTGGGTTCAATGCTCAGTACCCCTGGGGGTACTGGGGGCCAGGGATTTAGCTCAGTGGTTCCTCTGCCTGCCTCACAAGCACAAGGTCCCAAGTTTGATACCCCTACCCCCGCCAAAAAAATCGGGTGCTGTTTAGTCACTTGCTCTGTGTTCTGTTTCCAGTGGCCCTGAGACATTTAGTAAGGGCGCTTAGGCAGCAACTTAGTCAGAGAAGTTATTGTGGGGAAGCAGAAAATTTTTCTCTTCTGGAAGAACAGTCATCATATTTGAGTGCTGCTATTAAACCCCCACGTATGCAGGTGTCATTGTTTTCAATTTGAATTTTGATGAAATTCTATAATATTAAAATACTTGTTGAAAGCTGTTGGAACCATATGTGATCATTTGTACAAAGTATAAACATTAAATAGTGAAACAGCCAATTAAGCCAACAGCAATATCTTTCCTAGGTTTTAATTTGGTTTTACTTATTGATTGATTTATTTTTGTTTTGTTTTGTCTTTTTTGAGACATGGTCTCACTATGTAGGTCAGGCTGGCCTCTAATTTACACGATCCTTCTGCCTCAGCCTCCCAAGTTCTGGGATCACAGGCATGCGCCACCACGCTGGCTCCATGTGTATTTTTGTTTGCCCACATGTCTACCCTTGCTGACTTTCCCCTCAGTCCCTGGCATTTCTAGAATCTTCCCTTCTGAGATGAAGACCTCCCTCAGTATTTCTTGCAATGCAGGTTGGGGACAGCTTTCTCCAACTCTGTCTAAATAAAATCTTACTTTGCTGGGCTTTTTGGAAAGGTGTTTTTACCAGATGGTTCTGTGGGTTGGTAGGTTTTTCCTTTAGCATCCTGAAGCTCTTCCTGTTATCTCCTGATTGTTGTTCTTGTGAAAAGACAGCTGCGCTTTGGTGCTTGTTCCTCTGAGAGCTAAGGACTTTATTCCTCCTGGCTGACTTTCTGCCTGGGTTCCTCAGCCTCCTGTCTGTGATGAGC